AGAGTTTTAAGTTTTGGACGAAAATCTAGCAACTGCTCAAAACAACGCTGAAGTGATTCTTGGAACAAATACATCTTGGTTGTTGACTGGCGGCGGAAACACAGAAAGTAAGTTTGCATCCCACGGTATAGACGAAGAAAGTGGGATTATTGTGAAGCTTGGCGCTCCATCTATTGTTAACCACTTCAAAATGAGGCTCTGGGATGGGGATAAGCGGTACGTAGAAAAATATTATTTACAGTTTTAAGAAAATTTGTTGCAGTTCTTATTCTTATTACATTTCGGTTTCTCTTGATCAGAAGAACTGGAGAAGAATTATCGACTACAGTCGCATTAGTTGTCGTTCAGACCAAGTTTTGTTTTTTAATCATCAGATGACTCAGTACATAAAAATCGTGGGAACGCAAAACACAATCAACAGTGTAAGATTACAAAACGCACTTACATACTTAATTTGTTTTTTTTTATTCAGGAGTTTCACATCATATCCCTTGAAGCTTATTTCAAAAATAATGTTCCTACAACCACAAATGGCATTATCTGCCCAAATTATAATGTTGCAACTTTAGACAAGAAAGCGCTTGTCATTAAAGGGTAAGTCAAAAATACGTGCAGAACCATCACAAATATGATCCTTTTCTAAGAGAAAATCCTTCCGCTTTGTTGAATGGTAATTTACGTGATGGCAGTAGCGGCTGTTCTTGGCATATTATAGGCAGTGGAAATCTTACCATCCAACTGGGTAAGTCACCACAGTTTCTTTATTTTATTTTTAACAATCATTACGAATCGTAGCACAACCGTACATAATTTCAACAATGAGACTTTTATTACGGGACCGCGATCCGAGACGCTATAGATATTTTGTTGAAACTTCTACCGATAATTCAGAGTGGGAGATTGCCGTGGATCTAAGAAACCAAGATTGCACATCTTGGCAGAATCTTCGTTTTAAAGAGAGAGTTGTGGTTTTTATTAGGATAACGGGGACTCTCAATACTGCTAACACAGTAAGTAAATCTCATTCGTATTCACCTAGTTGACAACAGTTTATGTGATAATTATGGATACTTTTTCTAACAAAACTTCTAGGCGTTTCATGTGGTTCATTTCGAATGTCCTTCCGAGGTGTGATGGAAATAAACCAGAGATTTGGTGACTACTACAATGTTGAAACTGTTTACGTGACAAGTAATAATAGAAATATTTAGCTGATCAAACGTGTGTTTTTTTTCAAACGTTCTATTTTCCCGAATCATCCAATCGAGAAATGTTATGATCCCCAAATTTCAATCTTTAGTAGTACGATAACAGAAAGTTTGAAAATACGATTTTCAAATCGTAACGTAGACTGTCAACTAGAAAGTGCATCATTTAGGTTCTATTAAAGACAGTGCAAAAAATCAAAATCTGTCAAAGAGGATCGTTCTGATAGGCTTCGAAGCCACGAAGAAGTGTTTGGTTTGTTCAACGAACTATATTTTGAACGACCTCCAATTGTTAGAGACTATAATACTTACCTGAGAATATTCAACATATTTCATATTCCTGGTCTATCTCTTCGACTTCAGCACCTTCATTGGAATCTGAATATCTGTGTTTGATTTTATTAATGGTAATTACGAACTTTTAAATGAGCTTTCTGCATCAGTATGTTAGGATGTCTATGTCGTTGGAACCTTACATGAGAAAGTTTACAGATTTTTCAAAATCACTTTTTTTTTTAAATGAATATAGAACAAAAATATTGCTGTGATCTTTGTTTTTTTTTTTTTTGTTGTCCCAAATCACTATACCACGATAAATAATAAAAGAAGAAATCAATATAGTAAAAATTTTGGCTTAAAACTATATAAAAACAAAATTGTTAAATATTTCTATTTTAAAAACGGGGTTTTATAAGTAAAAGAGATATTTTTTTATTTTAAAATTACATTTCCAGATTGTGTGTTTCCAATACCCCGAATAAGAGGAAATTACCAAAAAAATATTAGAGTTTCGAGATATTTTGAAAAAACTGCATGGCAAAACTAAAAAGTTAGTCGATGGTTATTTCGACACAGCTTCCCCAGCCCAAAAATTCCAGGTTCTCTGATAAATTACAAAAACTACCGAGGAACTGAACAACCCAAAAACTAAAACCGAGAAATGAAAAAATTTTAAAAGTCGAAAAATTGAAAAACGTTTACAGATCGAGAATTCGAAAAATGGAAAAATTTATGTAAAATTTAAAAAATCGAAAAACTAAAAATTAAAAAACTAGGAATCGAGAAATCGAAAAATCTACAATTAAAAGTTCGAAAAATTGATAAAATTGAAGAATCGAATAACAAAAAATTTCAAAACTGAGATGTCGAAACCTTGAAAAATCGAGAAATCGAGACGATTAAAAGTCGAAAAATTTTAAAATCCGAAAAATGGAAAAACTCAGGATTCGAGAAACTGAAACAATCGAGAAGCTAAAAAATTCCAACTCTGAAATGTCGAAAAATTGGAAAACCGTAGAATTGAAAAGTCGAAAAAATCGAAAAATCGAGAAATCGAAATTAAAAAATTGAAACATCTAGAAATCAAAACTTCTAAAGATTGAGAAATCGAGAAACCCAGAAGTCGAACAATCGAAAATATTAAATTTGACATTAAAACATTTAACTTAAAGCAAAAACGATAAATCGAAACATCTAAATTGGAAAACTGACAATTTAAAAATTTAATAACTGAAAAATTGAAATCTTGAAAAATCAAACATTTTTAAAGTCAAAAAATTGAAAAACCGAACAATCTAAAAGCGAGAACTCGAAAAGTTGAAAGATCAAGAAATAGAAATATCTAAAAATTAAAAAATCGAAAAATTAATCGAAAAATAGAAAAATCGTTAAATCGAAAAGTAGAGAAATCAAAAAAATCAAAAATTGAGAAAACGAATAATCGAAAATTTGAAAACGCCTAAAATCAAAATATTGAACAATCGAAAAATTTGAAAAATCGAAAAATTAAGGAATCGAAAAACTGAAATCGTAAAACTAAAATATCGGAAAATCGAGAAATCGAAAAATAAAAATCTAAAAATGGAAATTTGGAAAAATTGAGGATTTGAAGAATCGATAAATTGAAAAATTCTGAAACCAAAATGTAGAAAAATTGAAGAACCCACAAAATCGTAAAACTGATTAATAGAAATCTTGAAAAACCCCAAAATTGAAAAATTCTAAAACCGAAACATCGACAACTTGAGAAATCGAAAAACTGAGAAATCGAGAAAACGAAAAGTCAAAAAATGAAAAAGTCGAAAAATCGGGAAATCGAAAAGACGAAAAATTAAAGAATCAATTTATAAAGAAATTGAGAAATGGTAAAATCGAAAATTTCGAAACGCGTCAAGTTTATTTGGCGAAATTTTGAGATGAGGTCATAAATTTTTTGGGAGGGGATAAACGAATACATTTTGCTTAACTGTTTGCCATGACAACGATAACCTTAAAATATTTACAAGATTTTAGGGCAATCGGTTTTGCAATTTGAAAGTTATTTATATTGCACAATATTTTTATTCAGTTTTGAATTTTTCCCAAAAATTTGAGATGTCTGGGGTAACATTAAACAATCGGGTCCAGTAGTTTCGGAAACTACTTGTCTAATAAAAATGGATACAGATAGACAGACGGAAACGGAAGACCACTTTTTTCGAACTCTAGAGGTCATGACCTCATGAGATGTCGAGACAATATAAAAGTGGCAAAAACTACAAAGATCTTGGATATGCATATACAGGTGACTCAAAAAAATTAATGAATGCGTGAATTTATTTTATTGATTAAATCAGGAACCACAAAACCGAATGCTTTGAAATCTTGGAAATGTTTTAAATTTATCATAAGCATATGGTAAATTTTTGATCAAAATATATTTGCTCATCCCCCCTAAAAAATGGATGTCGCCACCCCAAAATTTTGCTGAATAAATCCTATCTAAAATGTACAAAATACGATGAGTTTCTTCTTCTGATTTATCATTCCATTCATATTTTTGGGATTGGCATATACAGGGTGACCCAAAAAATTAATGAATGGGTAAATTTATTTTATTGATTTAATGAGGAGCTACAGAACCGAATGTTTTGAAATCTTGCAAATATTTTAAGGTTATAAATAGAATATGCAAAATATGATGAGTCACTTCTTGTAATTATCATTCCATTCATATTTTTTGCATTTGGATATACATACAGGGCGACTCAAAATATTTAATAAATGCGCAAATTTATTTTATTGATTTAATCAAGAACTACAAAACCGAATTCTTTGAAATCTAATGAGAAAAAAAACATAATAGGCGTGCAGTCATCAGGTTTCCGACAGCAAGGGAAGTACTGTCTAAACCCTTTAGACGAATTTTTTTCGGTTTCCCTATTTTTTTCTCATTATATTAATCTTTCGGAACGTTTTAATAAAACATTTGAAGATAGGCAGATTTTCATTTTGCTAAAAACTACAATTGAATTAGATCATTGAGTTCAGGTAACCTTCAACATTATCTTCAGTTAAGAATGATCACTTAATTCACGATATTTTTTTAGCAAAATGTAAACACATGCTGGCGGAAGTGGTAGTTTTGTTTCTTTGAGTTTGTTAACGAGTTATATCGAGAAACAAAAGTGTAAAAATATGTTTGTTGCAACGAAACAGAAAATTATCTACCGTAAGTAGACGACGGATCATCAGGCAAATAAATATTTGTTGCTTCTTTTTCCATTGTTTTAACAATATTTTATAAATTTAGGTTTTTCAGTTCTAATTAGTGTAAATTTGATGTTTTTTCTTTACGAGCAAATGGAGCTTTTTTATTGTTCATTTTTTTACCAAGTTGTTTTAATTAATTAATTTACATACATATCCGCCTTCTAACCGATGTGGACACACTTCCGTTCTTTATCATTTTGATTTGCCTATATAAATCGGAAGAAAACTTCCACTTTCAGTGATTACTTTTGTTAAATCTAAACAAAATGGTGAAAAGTGACGAAAGTGTGACTATTACAGACACCACCAAGTTGCTCGGGGATGTCGCATCTCTCTACCTCAACCAGAAATTTTCTGACATTACTTTGCTTGTCGATGATCAAAAGCTATACGCTCACAAGGTTAGTTCACAATTATTTGGTTTGACTTATCGAAAAAATATCACACTTTAGGTGATTCTGGCTGTGAGGAGCGAATACTTTGAGTCTCTACTTTACGAAGATCCGCAAAACACGAAAATAACCATAACCGGTGTGCCTTTTGACGCCTTGCGTACTCTGCTTAAATACATTTATACAGGTGACCCACTATTTTATGAACAAAACCATATTAATCAAAAATTTCAGGTACCATCACTATTTCCTCCGATGTTGACACAACCCTTCAGATACTAGGACTTGCCCATCAATACTCGTTCACAGACCTCCAAACCACCATCATTAAAAAACTAAAACCCCTTCTAAATTTACAAAACGTTTGCGCTGTCCTCAACACTGCCAACCTATACGATTTAGAAGAACTGCTCGAAGTTTGTCATTCCTTCATGGAACTTAACGCCTCTGAAGTCGTTTCAAGTGACTGTTTTGCAGACCTGTCTCAAGTAAAACCAGAATAATTTAATTTTGACACCTGTTACACTTTTGTTGCAGAAATCGATGATTAAACTTTTAGAACGCAGTACTTTTTTTGCTCCCGAAATCGAAATTTTCAAAAGTGTCGCCAAGTGGTGCAAAATCAACAACGACGTTGACGATTTAGTGATACAGTGTGTTCGTTTATCCTGGATGACTGTGGAAGATATCGTGTCTACAGTGTGGCCTTCGAAATTATTCGACTGTGAGAAGCTGCTGCAAGCCGTTGCTGAAATCGTTGGCGTTAAAGTGAAAAGCTCCAGTGCTAGAGGTTCTTACAGTAAGAATTTCGAAATCACGGTGACGTTTTTTTAATTCTTAGTTTAAGTGGTTGATGAGAATATTGCAACTCCTCTCCACAAAGCTGAGGTAATTTCAGGAGAAGGAACTGCTCATTTGCTGACTGGCGATGGAAAAACCGATGTCGGTTATTATGGTGAACATTTGATCGACGGTGAGAATGCTCTTATTGTTAAACTTGACACTCCTTCGTATTTTAATCATATCAAGATGAGACTATGGGACGGTGATGAACGGTAAGTGTACTAACCAAAGCACATACTTGGCTGAGAGTTGTTTTAGTAACTATTCTTACTACATTGCTGTTTCCCTTGATGGCAAAAAGTGGAGAAAAATAATCGACTACCGCCTCATAAGCTGTTATTCGAAGCAAAGTTTGTTTTTTGACCAACAGCTGGCCCAGTACATTAAAATAGAAGGAACTCACAACACTGCGAATAAAGTAAATTTGCGCTAAAATTTGATAATCTAGTATAGTTATTTTTTGCCATGTTGTGATTTAGGGGTTCCATTTGATCGGATTTGAAGCATACTTAAAAACTACTGTCCCGAAATTTTTAAGTGGCATTATTTATCCGGATAGCAATGTGGCCACAACAAAAGGAGCTAGAGTTATATCAGGGTAAGTACTAGTCACCAGAATGTATTATTATGATTATGAATAATTGATAGCGACAGCCCTTCTTTGCTTCTAAATGGGGACTTCAGTAACTATAATAGTGGTTCAGGCTTTACTCAACATACTATAGGATCAGGAAGCATCATTGTAGAACTGGGTACTTGGCGGTATTCACAGTTACTCTTGACTTAAAATTATAAAATATTCTTCAGCTCAACCTTACATGATTTCGAGCATGAGATTGTTGTTGTGGGACAAAGATGAAAGGAGTTACAGATATTTCATAGAAACATCTCTTAACCAAACTAACTGGGAAATTGCTGTGGATCGGAGAAACGAAGACTGTAAATCTTGGCAAAATCTTGTTTTTAAAGAGAGAGCAATGGTTTTCATTAGGATTACTGGGACACACAACACAGCTAACATTGTGAGTAAAATAAAACAAAATATTTTTCTCTTTTTTGATGACGCTTAAATTGGGACTGCATGTAATGTTTGTTCAATTTTGATTTCAAGGGTTTCCACGTTGTTCACTTCGAATGTCCTGCGGAATAGAGACGGAAAACTGAAAATCGGATTCCGCTGCACTATTGAATTTATAATCTCAAGAAATTTTGTAAGACGATGTATTCGCAATAGAAAAAAATTTTGCTTCAATAGGGTCTTTTATTTTTCCCTTCATGCCAAAGTTTTTTTCTTCTGTATATGAAAAGAACAATAGGAACTTCAACATTAATTTTGTTCCGGATATGGAACTAAATGATCAAAGGTGTCTATTGCTGAGGTGTTCGAGCATATTTCCCAAATAAAATTTTCCTCCAGTTATGGTCCAAATGGAATTCCAAGCATTCTCTTAAAACCTGTGTCTTTATAATTTCTCTTCCATTGATTTTGTTATTTCAATCGTCTCTAAATGAATGTAAATTTCGTAAAGTTTGGAAAAACATTTATATTATCCCTATATTTACTCAATTTTGTCGAACTTAGTAGAGTACTATTCCTTCCTTAATGATGCGTTTGCCAATAAACTTCAAGTTGATGCTGCATATATCGATTTTTCTAAAGCGTTCGATAAAGTAAATCATAAGTTGCTACTTTTTAAGTTATCCAAATACGGTTTTAATAACAACACCATAAAGTGGTTAGAGTCCTTCTTAAATGATAGACAGAAACAGGTGACAATTGGAAATCACTTATCTATTCCTTTTTCTGTAAAATTGGGGGTCCCACAAGGTTCACATCGTGCTCCTATTTTGTCTTTCTTATTTATTAATGACATAACATCTTGTTTTCACAATTCGAATTTTTTATTATATGCGGACGATATGAAGCTACTTAAATCTGTTCAGTCCATGAGTGACACAATGGAACTGCAAGTTGACTTTAATAGATTACATGTGTGGTTTTTCAGCAGTTTACTACCTCTAAATCTCAAAAATCATTGGTACGTTTTAATTATCAGAAAGTTCTGCGATAGCCCGTGTGAAAAAAATCCGGAATTTGGGTGTTATTTTTGATTCATTGTGCGTTCTCATCTTGAATACTGTTCCCCGGTATGGAATCCATACTATAGAGTTGACTGCGAGCTACTAGAAAAAATTCAAAAAAGGTTTCTTCGTTCGATTGAATTTAAATTTAATCGTAGTCATCATCATGGTGATTACACTTGGATTTGTAGTTATCTCGATATAAACTCTTTAGAGGATAGGCGTTTTATGTCGGGTCTTTGCTTCCCCCATAGTCTCATAAATGGTAATATTGACAATTTTTCACTGTTAAGTAAGTTAACGTTCTTAATTCCGGCAGCCAATAGTCGTATTACGCGTAGTTCAGTGACGTTCAGAATTTCTGTATCTAGTACCAACAAAACTAAGAATCATTCTATCTTAAGAATGATGGAGATAGCAAATCATCTGAATAAATATAACCATTTCGTATTATTCAACAGAGTTTAAAAGGAGACTAAAGCGATTATTTCAGACACAATTTTTAGTTTAGAATTCTATTATTTTTTCTTATTTATGTTATTTTAGTTTAAGCATTATAAATAGTGTTTTATGAATATATATTGTTTCTGTTCTCATTTCTATTGCTAAGTTTTGTTATCGTTAAGTGTTATCTTAGATGAATTAATTAAGCGGTTTAAGTTTGTACACTTGTATATTTATTTTATGTTCTATTATTGTAACTGGAGTTATCCGTCAGCAAAATAATAATGATAATAATTGTATGATTGACATTTGACAATAGTTTGACATTTTTGACAAGCCGGTTATAAGTCGCCTGACTGGATGACAAAATGGAAGCTAAAAAACTTCACTTAAATTAAAACAAAACCACAGGCATATTATAACAATAATACTTTATTTTATTTTCCAACGGATTTCTTATGGAATAAAAATATTCAAGAATTTTTTTTTTAAGAAACTGGCACACATCGGTGGAAATAGGACTTTTGTTTCTGTCATTTTGTAATATCGCAAAACAAAGACACAAACATGTGTTTTATTAGAGCTTGTTTTCAGCAAAATAGAAAATAATCTCTTGTAAGCAGAGGACGGATTGTTAGGCAAAAAACTGGTGCTTGTTCGTCCAACGTTTTTTAAATCATTTAGAATACTGCATTTTTTCATTGTGTATAGGTATACTGCAAATTCTATGATTTTTGTAGAGGAAGTAAAGATTTTTTTCGTTTGAAGCTTCACAGTCGTAGAAGTACTTAAGACTAGCACTAGAAATCTCTACATTTTTTGTATAGATTTGTACGTATTTGGTTAAAAAATTTGAGTCTCCTTTGACAGAGTGGAAATTAAAGTAAGAAACTAACAAAAATCCAGAATTTTTAAATCCATTGACGACGATTTAGGATAAAATTCTTGTTAATAACCTGGAAGAATAAAGTGTGTTATCTGGGGGTATCAAAATCAATAATGGAAGTTATTTCAGTGCATTTAGTTTATTGTAGCTACCCATATTTCACTACAAATTTTCTGATATTTCATGTTTTGTTCTTCATTACCATTTTAAAATTTTTCTACATAGATATCCGCCTTCTAACCGAAGTGGTTACGCTTCCTCTCTCTATCATTTTGTGTTGCCTATATAAAGCCGAAGAATATTTCCACCTTCAGTGTTGATACCGTCAAACCAAAACACTTAAACTGTGTAAAATCTAAACAAAATGGTGCAAAGTGACGAAAGTGTGACCATTACAGACACCACCAAGTTACTCGGAGATGTGGCATCTCTGTACCTCAACCAGAAATTTTCTGATATTACGTTGCTCGTCGATGACCAAAAACTATATGCTCACAAGGTTAGTCTACAATTACTTGGTGTGAATTATCGAAAATGTATTACACACTTTAGGTGATTCTGGCCGTGAGGAGCGAGTACTTTGAATCTTTACTTTACGGAGATCCGCAAAACACAAACCAGGTACAAGATTTGTCAATTTCTTGCAAAATAATCCTTACACAAAAATTTTAGACCGAAATAGCAATAACCGGTGTGCCTTTTGACGCTTTACGTACTCTATTAAAATACATTTATACAGGTGAACGTCAGTTTTTACAACAGAACCAGATTCATGGATGAATTTCAGGTACCATCGCTGTTTCCTCCGATCTTGAGTCATCCCTTGAGATACTAGGACTTGTCCATCAATACTCGTTCACAGACCTTCAAACCACCATCATTAAAAAACTAAAACCTCTTCTAAATTTACAAAACGTTTGCCTCGTCCTCAACACTGCCAATCTCTACGATTTAGAAGAACTGCTGGAAGCCTGTCATTCTTTCATGGACCTTAACGCATCTGAAGTCGTCACCAGTGACTGTTTCACCGACCTGTCCCAAGTAAAACCACAGTAGTGTTAATGATTACACACATCATACTTTTGTTACAGAAATCGATGATTAAACTTTTAGAACGCAATTCTTTTGTTGCTCCCGAAATCGAAATTTTCAAAAACGTGGCTAAGTGGTGCAAAATTCACAACGACGTTGATCATTTAGTTATACAGTGTGTTCGTTTATCGTCGATGACTGTCGTGGACATCGTAAGTACAGTCTGGCCTTCGAAACTATTCGACTGTGAAAAGTTGTTACAAGCCATTGCCGAGATCGTTGGTGTCAAAACAAAAACTTCCACTTCTAGAGGGTTCTATCGTAAGAATTTGTCTCCCAATTCGGGAAAAAAATTAAGTGAGAGTTTTAAGTTTTGGACGAAAATCTAGCAACTGCTGAACACAACGCTGAAGTGATTCTTGGAACAAATACAGCTTGGTTGTTGACAGGCGGCGGAAACACAGAAAGTAACTATGCATACCACGGTATAGACGATGAAAGTGGAATTATTGTGAGGCTTGGTACTCCATCTTTTGTTAACCACTTCAAAATGAGACTTTGGGATGGGGATAACCGGTACGTACAAAAATATTATTCACAGTTTTAAGAAAATTCGTTGTAGCTCGTATTCTTATAACATTTCGGTTTCTCTTGATCAGAAGAATTGGAGAAAAGTTATCGACTACAGTCGTGTTAGTTGTCGTTCAGACCAGGTTCTCTTTTTTAGTCAGCAGGTGACCCAGTACATAAAAATTGTAGGGACGCAAAATACAGCCAACCGAGTAAGAATATAAACAGTACTCACGTCATTTATTCACTTTTAAATTAGGATTTTCGCATCATTTCCTTCGAAGCATATTTCAAAAATGATATACCTACAATTACAAATGATATTATTCGCCCCAAATACAATGTTGCAACTTTAGAGAAGAAAGCGATTATTATTGAAGGGTAAGCGAAAGAATACATATAGAATAATGATGATAATAATAGTTATGATCATTTTCTAAGGCAAGATCCTTCCGCGTTGCTTGATGGTAATTCAGATGACTATAGTTCATATACCTATCACAAAATAGGCAGCGAACCTATTACAATCCAACTGGGTACCTTAGTGCAATGTTTAATTTTTTTTTCTAAAAATTATTAATCCGCAGCTCAACCTTACATGATTTCAACAATGAGAGTTTTATTATGGGATAAAGATAACAGATACTATAAATATTTTGTTGAAACTTCTATAAATAATACTGACTGGGAGATTGCTGTTGATCTAAGAAATGAAGATTGCAAATCTTGGCAAAATCTTCGTTTTAAAGAAAGGGCGGTAGTTTTCATCAGGATAACCGGAACTTACGATTCTGTGAACGGCGTAAGTAGTATATAATAATTTAATATTATTAAAATGTTTGAATGAACTTATAATGAACAATTTTCGCTTCCAAAATTCTAGTATTTAGTTGTAATGCACTTCGAATGTCCCTCCGAGATGTGAAGGAAATGAATGAAAGATCGGGCCATTGCTAAGAAGTTGTCTACAAAACGCATGCTTTATATGACAAATAAACAAATAGATTTATCAAATATGATATTTTTCTTACACATAAATGATTCAAAACCTCCCAAATCCTCTACCACCATGTCACATCTGTCCAAATTATAATGTTGCAACTGCAGAAAAAAAGACCATTGTAATTAATGGGTTTGTAAAAGGTAATATGCAGAATAATCATCCATACGAGAATTTTCTTAGAATGAAACCTGACGCCTTGCTGGATGGTAATTCACGTGTTTACAATGGTGGAGTGGCTATTCCTACCATCTTATAGGCAAAGGAAATCTTACCATACAACTGGGTATCTCAGTGCAACCTTAATGTTTTCCCTGTTAATATAAACACATTTTGTAGCCCAAACTTACATGATTTCAACAATGAGACTCCTGTTATGGGATCTAAGATGACAGGCGTTATAAATATTTTATTGAAACTTCGCTCAATAATTCAGACTGGGAAATCGCCATCGGTCTAAAAAACGAAGACTGCAGATCTTGGCAGAATCTTCGTTCTAAAGAGAGGAATATCGTGTTTATAACACCGTAACTATAACCTAATTCAATGAAAATGTTTCGTTTAAGCTAATAAGGTACATCTAAGAAGATTTCTTGAACCCACTTTGAACGATTTCTAGAGTTTCTAGGTGGTTTATTTAGAATGCCCCTCCCGGATGTGAAGCAAATAAATGAAAAATTTGGCCTGTGACAACAACAAACGTTTTTTTTTATGTACGTAAATCAGATTCTCCCAATTCTTGTTGTACCAATAAATTATGATACTTCAATAAAACTAACTGGGAAATTCTCTCAATTCTCAATTGTGATGAATTTTTCATTCGTTGGTAAATCGAGGGGCGCGGCTTAAATGCAAGATCCATATTTGTCTACAAAAGTTTATCAACATAAACATGTTTTAAGTTTCTTGTTCTGAAAAGATAACTATACGTATATTAAAAAACAAGGCAAAATATAAGCCCCGCCCACCCACCCTATCTCAATTGTGATGATTTTTTTATATGTCGAGAGCCAAAACAGCGGAATTTAAATGCAAAATTCTTACTACTTCTCTACACGAAATTACCACGTAAGACATTTTTTGAGTATCGTGTTATTCAAAGAATACTATGTATATTAAGAAAAAATTAAAGTCACAAATTAAGTTCCACCCATACCTGCCCTGACGCAAATACTAGTAATAAATTTTTCATTAGTTGTCAGATTGCGGGGCGGGGCTTATAATTGCTTAAGATCCATACCCAAAAATTTAACAATCAAAATTCGAAGACATGCAAATCGAAAAATTGATAGAACCGCAAAAGTGTATTAATAAACAAAAAAAAAAAACCGAAACGAAAAATATCAAATCGAAAAGTTGCAAAATCCAAAAATTGAAAATTAGACATTGACAAAAAGAAAAACGGACATGAAAAACCTAAACGAAAAACTCCCAATCGGAATATTGTAGAGATGGAAAACTAAATAATCTAAAAACTGAAAACTCGTGAAATCACAAACTAAAAATTGGAAAATCCAAAAATTGAAACATCCAAAAATTGGGAAAATTTCATACTGACAAAAAGAAAAACATAGAAAATGAAAAACCTAAACGAAAAAGTCCAAATCGGAAAACTGTAGAAATGAAAAAATGAATAATCTAAAAATTGAAAAATTCAAAATTGAAAATTGGTGAAATCACAAATCGAAAATTTTAAAATGAAAACTGGAAGACGTGTAATTCGAATAATCGAAGAAACAATGAATTGTAATAACAAAGAAAATAAAAAACCGAAACGAAAAAATGCAAATTTGAAAAACTGAGGAAACGAAAAATTCAAAAAATTTATATCAAAAAACCCAAAAACTATAAAATCTGAACATTGAAAAACTTAAAAATTCGAAAAATAAAAAACATAAAAACCGAAACCCAAAAATTGCAAATCGAAAATTTGAAAAAATGAAAAACTGAAGTATTGAAAACCTGAAAAATTAAAAATTGAAAACTCAAAAAATTGTAAATCGAAAAATTACAATTTAAAAAAAAATGAAAAATTACAAATCGAAAACTTGAAGAGACGAAAAAAATTAAACATTGAAGAATTGAAGGATTCAAGTCAAAAAAAGTTTTTACTTTGTAGAGGTTATCAAAAAACGAAAATCGCAAAAAGTTCTGTTGAAATAACTTTCGACCAATTTTTTTTTACTATTCTATTACAATACTTTTTAGCTTACGCTCTGAGAGTGGACTTTTTTAGATTACGTCACTAACATTCTGGAAGGCATTACCTAACCTTACCTGACCTGACCTTACAAACATTCGAACAAATAAGTAAAATGTATCATACTTAACAATATTTTGATGACGTCTACAAGAATTTACCGTTATAAACATGTTGTAAGTTTCTTGTTCTGAAAAGAGGAGTATACGTATATTAAGAAAAAACGGCAAAATGTAAGCCCCGCCCACCCACCCTATCTCAATTGTGATGATTTTTTTTAATCGTAGAGAGTCATGTTTATGAGTATCGTATTATTCAACTAGTACCTATGTATATTTCGAAAAAAATTAAAGCTACAGATTAAGCTCCACCCATATCTGCCTTGATCTAAATAGTAATGGAATTTTTATTCGTTGGTAGATCTAGGGGCGGAGCCTAAATGCAAAATCCATATTTCTTTACAAAAATTTACCATTTGAAACGTGTTTTAAGTTTCCAAGTATAAAAAAGATCATTACAATAGCGATGGGGTGGGTGGGTGGGGTTTATATTTTGCCTTTTTGTCTTAATATACACAGTATTTTTTTAACAACACGATCCTGAAAAACATGTTTTTAATTTCTTGTGAAGAAATAAGTATTTTGCAGTTAGGCTCAGTCCCCGTGGTTCACGGCTAATAAAAAAAAAATCATCACAATAGAGATAGGGCGGGTGGGCGGGCTTACGTTTTGCCTGTTTGTTTTAATATGTGTAGACTTCTTTTCATAACAAGAAACTTAAAATATGTTTAAAATGGAAAATTTGTATAAGGAAATATAGATTTTCCAATTAGGCTCCGCCCCATAATTGGAAAATCCATATTTCCTTGCAAAAACCACTTTAACCATGTTTTAAGTTTCTTGTTATGGAAAGATGGATATGTATATTAAGAGAAAGAAGGCAAAATCTAAGCCCCGCCCACCCACCCTATCTCAATTCTGATGACTTTTTTATTCGTCGTAAGCCGAGGGGCGGAGCTTAATTGTAAAATCCTTATTTTACGACCTTGTGAAATATGTTCTTAAATAATCGTGTTATACAAATAAAACTAAATGTATTAACAAATTTATCATTTTAAACATGTTTTAAGTTGCTTGTTGCGAAAAGATGACTACACATATTAAGAAAAAAAAAGGTAAAATATAAGCCTCGCCCTATCTCACTTGTGGTGATTTTTTATTGGTCGTGAACCAAGGGGGCGGAGCTTAATTGCACAATCCTTATTTCTATACAAAAAATCAAAACCTTCTCTTTGAATATGTTAAGAAAAAAACAAGCCAAAAATTAAGCCCAACCCAAATCCGTCGCAAGCTCCAGTTGTGATGAATTTTCCATTTGCTGTCGGGCCGAGGGGTGGAGCCTAATTCCAAAGTCGATACTTTCCTACAAAAATTTGTCATTTTAAACATGTTTTACTTCTCTTGTTGTAAAAAGAAGACGACACATATTAAGAAAAAAGGGCAAAATATAAGCCCTTGCAGTTACAATATCTAGTCTGTTTATGAGATGAATAGCAATAAATATTGTTGATTTAAACGTCCAAAACTAGTGATTCTTCTGTAATTATTCTCTTCCAATTGGTGCTTGGTACCCGGGCCAAATCGTAATTTTTCGGTAACACTGTTGTTGAAATAATTCAGTATGTTCAGACGAATTGCGGAGGAAATCATACACATAATTTATAAAAAATAAAAAATATATTGAATAATAAGAATCCGTAAGAAACCAATCTTAGAGAAAAATTTTTGTCACATGAAATCTAATCAATCACTAGTGACTAGACTGACGGAAATGATAATTCCGTTTCTGTGATTTTGTGTGTTGTTTATATCACGAAACAATTAGAATATAAACATGTTTTCCATAAGAGGATGTTTTTCAGTTCTGCCAAAATAAAAAATTATCTATCGTAAGTAGAGGACGGATAGTTATGCAAATATTTGCTGCTTGCTTTTTTCCATTTCTTCGAGATTTTGCAATTTTTGCATTACTTTTTTTTCTACTGAAAATGTGGTGTATTTTTTGAACAACTTAAGTCCAAGCAACATTCTTTTGTAAATTACGAATGATGATTGTAGTAGCAATGACGCATATTACATTCATTACAAAGCAGACTAACTGCTAATTTGGCTTGGGAAATAGTAAAAATATCAACTGTTTTCAGAAAATCCTCTATTTCCAATTTTAGTAGAAAGACCAAATCCGGAAAAATCTATTTTGGACAAAATTTGCATGTAACAAATTATCTTATCAAGCAATTTTTATTTTCATATCTAGACAATATTTTTAAATTATTTTGAAATGTCCTTAAAGTTCCTGCAGATGTTCACCACTCTTTTTAAAATTTGTTTTGCCTAAATATCCGCCTGCTAACCGAGCTGACAACGCTTCCGTTCTTTATCATTTTACGTTGACTATATAAACTAAACGACAAGTTTCACTTTCAGTTACTAGAACACTTTAAATTGTATAAAGTAGAAATAAAATGGCGCAAAGCAACGAAACTGTGACTATTACAGACACCATCAAGTTGCTGGAAGATGTCGCATCCCTCTACCTTAATCAGAAATTCTCTGATATTACTTTGCTCATCGATGACCAAAAGCTATATGCTCACAAGGTTAGTTACTATTATTTGGTGTGAATCGAAAAAAATATTACAAATTTAGGTTATTCTTGCCGTGAGAAGCCCATGGTATCAGTTTCTACTTTACGAAGATCCGCAAAACACAAATCTGGTAGAAATGTTAAAAATATCTTTCAAAATAATTTTAAGTAACTATTTTAGGCCGAAACAAACGTGACCGGTGTGAATATCGAAGCTTTGCGTATTATATTAAAATACTTTTATACAGGTACCATCGCTCTTCCTTCCGATGTAGATTTAACCCTTCAGATACTCGGACTTGCCCATCAATATTCGTTCACAAACCTCGAAACAACCATCACCAAAAAAATACAATCGCTTCTAAATTTGGAAAACGTTTGTGCCGTCTTCAACACTGCCAATCTTTACGATTTAGAAGAACTGCTCGAAGTCTGTCATTCTTTCATTGACGCCAATGCCTCTGAAATTCTTGGTGGTGACTGCTTCACCGACCTATCTCAAGTAAAACCAGAGTAGCGTTAATTGTAATACACACTAAGCTTTTGTTCCAGAAATCGATGATTAAACTTTTAGAACGCAGTACCTTTTTTGCTCCCGAAATTGAAATTTTCAAAATTGTTAGCAAGTGGTTCAAAGTCAACAACGATGATGGCGCTTTAGTCAGACAGTGTGTTCGTTTGTCCTGGATGACTGTTGAGGATATCGTAACAATCGTGAGACCTTCGAAAATATTCGATTGTGAGGAGCTATTTGAGGCCGTTGCCGAAATCGTTGGTGTAAAAGCAAAAAGTACCAGTGCTAGAGGCTTGTACAGTAAGAACTTGTACTTCAGTGGACATGTTCTTAATTCTTAATTTAAGTTGTTGATGAGAATATCGCAACTCCTCAACGCAAAGCGGAGGTAATTTCTGGTATTAGAACCACCCACTTGTTGACTGGCAAAGGAAGTGTGGACCCCTATTATTATGGTGAACATGAAATCGATGGTAAAAGTGCTCTTGTTTTTAAACTTGGCAGCCCATCGTATTTTAATCATATTAGGATGAGACTTTGGGATGCTGATGAACGGTAAGTGGTCTAGCGAAACTACGGACATTGTCTACACTTTTCTTAGGTACTATTGTTATTACATCGCGGTTTCTCTTGATGGAAAAAAGTGGCGAAAAGTCATCGACTACAGGCACATAAGTTGTTATTCGTACCAAATCTTGTTTTTTGAGCAGCAGGTGGCTCAATACATTAAACTAGAAGGAACGCACAATACTGCAAACCCCGTAAGCCTAGAAATTCAGTATATATAGTTTCTGGTATTTTTAGTTCTAGTGGTTTCATTTGGTGTTTTTTGAAACCTACCTAAAGACTACTATTCCAAAAATTTTAAATGGCATTATCTGTCCAGATGAAAATGTGGCCACTCCAAACGGAGCTAGAGTTATATCAGGGTAAGTATAAGTGGAAAGAACGTGTTACTATAAATTAATAGTGTAAACCCTTCGATACTTTTAAATGGTGACTTCCGCAACTACGATGGTAGTTCAGGTTTTACTGCCCACACAATAGGGTCAGCCGGAATTATAGTCCAATTGAGTATTTATATTTACACACCTTCATGATTTATTGAAAATTAATCAATTCTTTTCAGCACAACCATACATGATTTCGACAATGAAATTATTGTTATTTGACAAAGATAACAGAAATTACAGATACTTTATAGAAACGTCCCTAAATAAAACCGACTGGGAACTTGCTGCTGATCGCAGGCACGAAGTTAGTAAATCTTGGCAAAATCTTGTGTTTAAGGAGAGGGCAGTGGTTTACGTTAGAATTACTGGAACGTACAACTCAGATCCCGGAAACAAAGTGAGTGAATTAAAATAAATTATAGACTAATACACTTTTTTGTTTAAGGGCTTCCAAGTTGTTCATTTTGAATGTCCTTCCGAGAAATAACATCAAACATTGCGTTTCTGTACCTACTGCTTCATAATCCGAAAAAAAAGTTGTAAGACTATTAATTAGTGAAAAAATAAAGATCTGCTTTGATACTGTTTTGATTTGTTCCCGTTCTGAAAGCTTTCCTTTAACAATATAACTTTAGCATATGTTTTTTTTTTATAACGTCATTAACATTTGCCAAAGGCACATATATCAGTTTAGTAGAAATAGACTCCTTAGAGTTTTGGCACCCTTTGAAATTTAGAGAAGATTTTGAACTTCTACAGTATTTGCAATATTTTCACAAATTTAGTAAAATGTTTACAATTTCTAGAAATGACTAAGTTTTTGAAATTTCCAGAAGTTACAGATTTTCTAATGTTATAAAAATATCTACAATTTTAAGGTTTTGTAAACTTTTGAGATTTAACATTTGTTTTATTTTCTTTTAATTTTTGGGAATTTTTAATTTTTCCATAGTTACTGATACAATTTTAAAATTCGAATCAACAATTTAGTACTGATAGATTCTATTCAGTTAGCCGCCGCCTGAGAACTTGTTTGATTTACAGACCAGACCGCACTCAGGCCAATATCGACTCTAAGCGATTTGATCTATAAGCCGACTTTCGTTAGAGCTGATCTGACTGATACACATCCACTGCAAGGAACTAACCGGTTTCGACCATCTGGTCGGATTTTACAATGAACAAGTGACGATATTAACGATTTAATACATAACATTTCCATTTTAGGCTTTTTCAATTTTTGCATTCTTCAAATTCTCGATTTCTCGATTTTTTTATTTATCGAATTCTCAATTTGACAATGTTTGAGTCTTACAATTTTTCTCGTCTTCAATTTTACGATTTTTGAACATTGTGATTTTTCAAAATTTCGACTTTTCGAAATTGTTTTTTGCTTTTTCGATTTCTAGATTTTTCACCCTTTTAATTTCTCACTTTTTGGGTTTATTTCAATTCTGGGATTTTTGAAAGTTTAGATTCTTCAATTTTTCTTCCACTTTTCAATTTTTCGATATTTCCGCTTTGGGATTTTTCAATACTTCGATTCTTCGTTTTTTCGATTTTTCGACTCGTGGATTTTTTACTTTTTGGATTTTCAGTTTCTCGTTTTATTATTTTAGATTTTCCAGTTTTTCGACTGTTTAATATTACGATTTCCCAATTTTTCAACTTTTGAAAATTCTAGATTTTTTATTTCTCGACTTTTCAGTTCTTCAATATTTCAATATTTTCCGAATTTTTAAATTTTCGATTTTTCAATTCTTCTTATGTTTTTTAATTTTTCGATATTTCAATTTTGAGATATTTCAGTATTTCGATTTTTAGACTTTTCGATTTTTGACTTCTGGATTTTTTGATAACTCGATTTCGTACATTTTGAATTTTCAATTTTTCGACTCTTATACTTCGATTTCTCAATTTTTCAACTTTTCAATTTTAAAATTTTCGATTTTTAAAATTTTTGAAGTCTCGATTTATCGAGATTCGGACATTTCGGTGTTTTGATTGTTCAATTTCTTGATTTATCAATTTTTCAATTTTTAACTTTTTCCAATTTTTGTTTTTATTTCCAATTTTTCCATGTTTCGATTGTTCACTTATACGATCTATCAATCTTTCAATATTTTAAATTTTGGAGTTTCAATTCCTCCATTTCTCAGTTTTTGGATTTCTAAATTTTAGGTATCCGAATTTGTATTTTTTTTTTTATATTTGGATTTCTCAATTTTTCAACTTTTCGATATTTCAATTTCTCAATATTTTAAATTTTAGATTTTCGATTAGTCAGTTCTTGATTATTTCTACTTTTCTATTTTTCTATTTTTCAGTTTTGTGGTTTTACGATTATTTTCTTTCCATTTTTTGCCATCTTGCTTTCCAGTTTTCAATTTTTAGATTTCTCGATTTTTTAAGTATTCAATATTTTAATTTTTCGATTTTTAAAATTCTGTATTTTTTTATTTCTCGACATTTCAGTTCTTCTATATTTGAATTTTTCAATTTTCCGAATTTTTAAATTTTCGATTTTCCAATTTTTACTGTTTAAAGTATTTCGATTTTTCAATTTTTTGAATTTCTCTATTTTTCTTATATTTTTTAATTTTTCGATATTTCAATTTTGAGATATTTCAGTATTTCGATTCTTGGATTTTTCGATTTTTGACTCCTGGATTTTTTGATTCCTCGATTTTGTACATTTTGAGTTTTCAATTTTTCGTTTATTAAACTTTAGATTTTTAAATTTTTTGACTCTTTTTTACTTTGATTTCTCGATTTTTCAACTTTTCAATTCTTCTATATTTCAACTTTTCAATTTTAAGATTTTCGATTTTTCAAATTTTTGAAGTCTCGATTTATTGAGATTCCGATGAATTTCTTGATTTATCAATTATTCAATTTTTAAAACTTTTTCGAATGTTCGCTTATCCGATGTTTCAATCTTTCAATTTTTTAAATTTTGAAATTTCAATGTCTCGATTTTTCAGTTTTTGGATTTCTAAATTTTACGTATCCGAACTTTACTACTACTACTATTTTTTTTTAAATTTGGATTTCTCGATTTTTCAATTTTTCGATTTTTTTTGTTTCCATTTTTTGCCATTTTGGTTTCAACTTTTCAATTTTTAGATTTCTCGATTTTTTAAGTTTTCAATATTTTTAAAATTCTGGATTTTGCGATTTCACGAGTTTTCAGTTCTTCTATGTTTCAATATTTTAATTTTTCGATTTCTCGATTTTTGATTTTTAATTTTCGACTTTTCGATTTTTCAGTTATGTGATTTTTCAATTTTTAACTTTTCGATTATTAGAATTTGACCTATTTCGCTTCCTCAATTTTTCGACTTCTCTAGTTTTCGATCCATTGATTTTTCGATTTCTCGAGTTTTCAGTTCTTCTATATGTATTTCAATTTTTTAATTTTCCGAATTCTTAAATTTTCGATTTTCCAATTTTTCTATATATCGAGATTCGGACGTTCCAATGCTTTGATTGTTCAATTTCTTGATTTATCAATTTTTGAATTTTTAATTTTTTCGATTTTTTACTTTTTACTTCCAATTTTTCGATGCTTCGATTCTTCACTTATAAGAGTTTTCAATTTTTTTTATTTTGGATTTTCAATTTCTCGTTTTTTCAGTTTTGCAGTTTTTCGATTTCTGAATTTTTTGTATCCGAATTTTATTATAATTTTTCAATGCTTTAAATTTTTAATTTTTCGATTTTTCAATTTTTCAATATTTCCATTTTTCAATTTTTCGATTTTTCAAATATATTTCAACTTCACAGGTTTTATATTTCTCGGTTTTGCAAGTTTTCAATATGTTAATTTTTCAATTTTTAAATTTTGGATTTTGCGATTTTTCCAGTTTTCAGTTCTTCTATATTTAAATTTTGTAGTTTTCCGGATTCTTAAATTTTCGATTTTCTAATTTTTCTTTTTTAAAATATTTCAATTTTTAACTTTTCGATTTTTTGATTTTGGCCTATTTCGATCCTTAAGTTTTCAATTTTTGAAAATTCTATTTTTTTTTATTTCTCGACTTTTCAGTTCTTTAATTGTTCTTCTATATTTCAATTTTTCAATTTTCCGAATTTTTAAATTTTCGATTTTCCAATTTTTCTTTTTTAAAGTACTTATTTGGATTTTTCAACTCTTTTATTTATCAATTTTTGGATATTTCTTCCAGGTTTGTGATTTTTCAATTGTTTTAATTCTTCAATTTTTCGTACATGTCTTAATTTTTTGATATTTCAATTTTGAGATATTTCAGCATTTCGATTCTTCGACTTTTCGATTTTTGACTTCCGAATTTTTTGATTCTTCGATTTTATACATTTTGAATTTTCAATTTTTCTTTTTATGCACTTTAAATTTTTCAATTTTTCGACTATTTTATACTTCGATTACTCAATTTTTCAACTTCTCAATCTTCCATATTTCAACTTTTCAATTTTAAAATTTTTCATTTTTTAAATTTAGGAGTTTCAATTTCTGGATTTTTCAGTTTTTGGATTTCTAAATTTTAGGTATTCGAATTTGTATTTTTTTTATATTTGGATTTCTCGATTTTTCAATTTTTCGATATTTCAATTTTTCAATGTTTTAAATTTTAGATTTTTCCATTTGTTAGTTCTTCATTATTTCTATTTTTCTATTTTTCAGTTTTGCGATTTTACGATTTTTTTGTTTCCATTTTTTGCCATCTTGGTTTCAACATTTCAATTTTTAGATTTCTCGATTTTTTAAGTTTTCAATATTTTAATTTTTCAATTTTTAAAATCCTGGATTTTGCGATTTCCCGAGTTTTCAGTTCTTCTATATTTTATATTTTAATTTTCCGAATTCTTAATTTTTTTATTTTCCAATTTTTCCTTTTTTAAGTTTTTCCATTTTTCTAAATATCGAGATTCGGACCTTCCAATGCTTTGATTGTTCAATTTCTTGATTTGTCAATTTTTCAATTTTTAACTTTTTCGATTTTTTATTTTTACTTCCAATTTTTCGATGTTGTTGCATTTCCGGAAGCGGCCACTGACCCTTTGGGTATCTTTACCTGAATTTGTAAATAGCACTGTAATTTTAGTACTTCTGTAACCGTCCTACATTAAACATCAAAACCGAACGCTGTCCATTATTTCAATTATAACAAACAAAAGGTCCTTCGAGCAATATCAAGGTACAATTCGGAAGACCATACATGGTCGTATCAACCGAATTACAAAAAACGTTGGTACTACGATTCGGATTGTACGAAACATTGGCATTCAAGCCGGAACATTGGTCTTCGAGCCGCAACATTGGTCTTCGAGACGGAACAGATGTTTCGATTGTTCACTTATCCGATTTTTCAATTTTTTTTATTTTGGCGTTTCAATTTCTCGATTTTTCGGTTTTTCAGTTTTTCGATTTCTAAATTTTAGGTATCCGAATTTTATTTTTTGATGTTAGGATTTCTGGCTTTTTCAATTTTTCGATTTTTCAATTTTGCGGTTTTACAACCTTTTATGTTTTAATTTTTTGCCACCTTGGTTTTTCCATTTTTAAAGTATATTTCAACTTCTCAGGTTTTAGATTTCTCGTTCTTGCAAGGTTTCAATAAGTTAATTTTTAAATTTTGGATTTTGCGATTTTTCCATTTTGTAATTTTCGGAATTCTCAAATTTTTTCTTTTTTAAGATTTTTCAATTTTTAACTTTCGGGTCTTTCAGTTTTTCGATTTTTCGATTCTCTTATTTTACGATTTTTCGATGTCTCAGTTTTGAATTTTTCGATGTTCCAATTTCCCAATTTTTCGATGATCAGATTTTTCAGTTTATTTTACTTATTCAATGTTTTAGAATCCAGATTTTTCGACTTCTCGATTTTTCGGTTTTTCAATTCTTCAGTATTTCTGTTTTTGTGTAATAAAAATTCAGAACAAATCTGTTTGTTTTAGAGAAAAATTCCGGTTACCCAGAAACTTAATCACTAGATGGCGGAAGAGATAATTTTGTTTCTTTGATATGGTTCACTGTTTAACTCCTGAAGGAAAAAATAAAAACATGTTTTCCATAAAAGTTTGTTTTTCAGTGCTGTGAAAATAGGAAATTATCTTTCGTAAATAGAGAACGGATAGCTATGCAAATATTACCTACATTTTCCATTTGTTTCTGTAAAGTTGCTAAGATTTACTAAAGTTAAAATTTGTTAGAAACTTTAGTTACCAAAATATGAAACGGCAACGTAATTTAAAAAATATCAAACTACCTTGATTTAATTTTAAGTTTTTTCTGTTTCGTTTGCTTAAATATCCGGCTGCTAACCGAGGTGACGAAACTTCCTCCTTTTATCATTTTACATTACCTATATAAACGAAATGAAATATCCCGTCTGCAGTGTTTCAATCGCCACTTCAAGACAAATAAATTGTGTAAAATCTATACAAAATGGTGAAAAGTGACGAAACTGTGACTATTACAGACACCACCAAGTTGCTCGGAGATGTCGCTTCACTCTACCTCAACCAGAAATTTTCTGACATTATTTTGCTCGTTGATGAGCAAAAACTATACGCTCACAAGGTGAATTTACAATTATTTGGTTTAAATTTTATCGAAAAATATCACACACTTTAGGTGATTTTGGCCGTGAGAAGCGAATACTTTGAGTCTCTACTATACGAAGATCCGGGAAACACAAAACAGGTATAATGTTAAAAAAAAAACAAATTACGAAAAATAATACCCCCATCAAAATTTTAGGCCGAAATAACCATAACCGGTGTGACTTTCGACACTTTGCGTAGTTTGTTAAAATACATTTATACAGGTGGTTCAGTATTTTTTTTTCAACAGAAGCGTACTAATTTAGAAATTTCAGGTACCATCACGATTTCCTCTGATGTAGACTCGACCCTTCAGATTCTAGCACTTGCCCATCAATATTCATTCGCAGACCTCCAAACTACCATAATTAAAAAACTAAAGCCCCTTCTGAATTTGCAAAACGTTTGCGCCGTCCTCAACACTGCCAACCTTTACGATTTAGAAGAACTGCTCCAAGCCTGTCATTCTTTCATGGACCTTAACGCCTCTGAAGTCGTTGCTAGTGACTGTTTCACCGACCTGTCTCAAGTAAATCCAGAATAATGTTAATTTTGACTCACATTGAACTTTTGTTACAGAAATCGATGATTAAACTTTTAGAACGCAGTACTTTTTTTGCTCCCGAGATCGAAATTTTCAAAAACGTGGCAAAGTGGTGCAAAATTAACAACGATGTTGATGATTTAGTTATACAGTGTGTTCGTTTATCGTCCATGACTGTCGTGGACATCGTAACTACAATCTGGCCTTCGAAATTATTCGACTGTGAAAAGTTGTTACAAGCCATTGCTGAGATCGTTGGCGTCAAAACAAAACTTTCTAGTTCTAGAGGGTTCTATCGTAAGAAATTGTCTCCCTATTCGGGATAAAAATAAAATGAGAGTTTTAAGTTTTGGACGAAAATCTAGCGACTGTTCGACACAAAGCTGAAGTTGTTTCTGGAACAAATTCATCTTGGTTGTTGACGGGCGGTGGAAATGTGGAAAAGTTTGCGTACCACATGATAGACGGTAAAAGTGCAATTATTGTGAAGCTTGGTGCTCCATCATTTGTCAACCACTTCAAAATGAGACTCTGGGATGGCGATACACGGTACTTACAAGAATCTTATTTGCAGTTTTAAGAAAATTCGTTGTAGCTCTTATTCGTACTACATTTCGGTTTCTCTTGATCAGAAGAACTGGAAAAGAGTTATCGACTACAGTCGTATTAGTTGTCGTTCAGACCAAGTTCTGCTTTTTGATCAGCAAGTGGTTCAGTACGTAAAAATCGTAGGAACGCAAAACACGTCCATCAAAGTAAGGTTATAAACCGTACTTACATCTGTATTTTTTTGTTTAATCAATCAGGGGTTTCACATCATATCCTTTGAAGCTTATTTCAAAAATGACATACCTACAACCATAAATAACATTATCTGCCCAAATTACAATGTTGCAACTTCAGACAAGAAAGCGATTGTAATTAAAGGGTAAGTAAAATAGTACTCAATTAATCAATTAATCACACAAATGATAATTTTCTAAGAGAAAAGCCTTCGGCCTTGCTAGATGGTAATTGGCACGAATATAATGGGAGCTCAGGCTATTCCTATCATAAAATTGGCAGTGGAAATCTTACCATACAACTAGGTACCTTAGTGATATTTATATTAAGTAACTGTTAATTAAAAATACTAATTCGTAGCTCAACCGTACAACATATCAACCATGCGACTCTTACTATATGATAACGATTCCAGACGCTATAGATATTTTGTTGAAACTTCACTTAATAATTCAGACTGGGAGATTGCGGTTGATCTAAGAAACGAAGATTCCAGATCTTGGCAGAATCTTAGTTTTAAAGAAAGGGCTGTAGTTTTTATTAGGATAACAGGGACCCTCAACACTAATACTGGCAACGACGTAAGTGAATCTAGCTTAATTAAAATATTTCGGGGAAGGCAATTTTCAATAATTTTCTTGTACTTATATACTTGTAGTATTTCCATGTGGTTCATTTCGAATGTCCTTCCGAGGTGTGAGGAAAACTAACTGAAAACTTGCAGACCACTTACAAGATTTCTACAAAACGCATGCTTTATATTGTTAATAAAAAATTTTAGCGATTATTGTACATGAATCATTTTCTCCCGAATCATTACAATCCAACACATTAATTTTTAATTCTACAGTTTTTCGATTCTATAATTTTTAATTTCCAATTTTCCAATTTGTTCTTTTTTTTGTTCCTTCAATTTTATGGTATACAACTCTTCGAGTTTTCATTTTGAAATTTCTCAGTTTTTCTATTTTACTTTTGGATATTTGAACTTATAGATTTGTAGTTTCATGAGTGTTCAGTTTTTGTTTTTCAATTTTTCAGTATTTTTCGTTTCGGTTTTCTAATGTTCCTACTTTTAGATTTTTCAGTTCTTCAAGTCGTTTTTTCTGCTTTCCAATTTTTCGATTTTTAAGTTTTTCGATTTTCCAACTTGTCGAATAAAAAATTTTAAAAATTAGAACTGTAAAATTGAAAAATAAGAAAAAAATCTAAAAATGTCGAAAATTAAAGAAATTGGACAACTAGGAGCCCAAAATTGTAAAACTGAAAATTGAGAAACTGAATAAACGAAAAATCATAAAATCTAAAGAAACATTGAATAAACAAAGGAAAAATTCTGACATAAAATCGAGAAAATCAAAAATTTACATAAAAAACTGAGGGAACGATAATTGGAAAATCTAAAAATAAGTTGAGAAACTTAAAAATTGCAAATCGAACAACTGAAAAAATTGGAAGTCACCCTCCAACGTCAAATCATTTTTCAGCTTGACAAATTGACTCATATTGTTCATTTTTCACTTATTTTGTTTCTTTTTTCGAGTTTCGAGTTTTTTTAGTATTTCAATTTTCTAAATTTTGAATTTGTCAATTTTTATTTTCTTTATTTTTTCAATTCGATATTTCAATCTTTCGAATTTATAATTTTTTGTTTCTTCAATTTTAATTTTGTAATTCTTCGTTTCCTTAATTTTCGATTTGCGAATTATTAAATGTTTCTTTTTCTTATTTCTCCAATTTATTGACTTTGGAATTTTTTGCTTTAAAATTTTCGAGTTTTCCCTTTTTAATTTTTAGGTTTTTCGATTCTTTAATTTTTCATTTCTTCAAATTTTCGATTTGCAGTTCTTCATTTCTGGTTTTATTTTCGTTATTTTTATAATTTTTTGTTTTTTCATTTTCAGTTTCTTCAATTTTTCGCTTTTTAATTTTTTTTGTTTAACGGTATGCAGCAAACAAAGTTTTTGAGTTTTTTGATTTTCTAACTTTTGGATATTTCAACTTTTAAATTTGCAGTTTCACGAGTTTTCATTTTTTATTTTTCAGTTTTTCACTATTTCAATTTCCAAACTTTTGATTCGGTTATTCAATGTACAATTTTTCAATTCTTGGATTTTTTAACATTTAGATCTTTTGATTTATTTCTTCATATATCCAATTCTCAATTTTGCAATACTTCAGTGTTGCTGTTTTACAGTTTTTCAATTTTGCAATTTTGACCACTCTATAATTTTACTATACAATTCCTTTTTAACTTATCGAATAAAAAAAAATATAAGGATTGCAAAATGAAATATTAAAAAAACAAAATGAAAAATAGTAAAAACCAAAAATACGTATTGTAAAATCGAAATTCTGAAAATTAAATAAATCGGAAAATCCAACAGTAGGAAATTCAAAATTGAAAAATTGAAAGCTTTAAAGATTGGAAATTTATAAAATCGAAGTTATTGCAAAAATAAGGGAACTGAAAAAACGAAAAATTGTGATATAAAATCGACAAAATGAAAATAAAAGAATCGTGAAAAATAAAAATAAAAATCAAGAATTGATTTGAAAAACTGAGGAAACGAAAATTGAAAAATCTAAAAAAAACCTCAGAAACCGAAAAATTGCAAATCGAAAACTTGAAGAAAAGAAAAATTGAAAAATTTGGAATTCTGGAAATCGAAAAATTGAAAAAATTGAAAAATGAAAAAACGAAAAATTCTGAGAAATTTGTAAAAACGGATTTTTAATTTTGCAATTTTTTATTTATTCGATTTTCAGTTTTTCAATACTTCAGTGTTGAGATTTTATAGTTTTTCGACTTTACAATTTAGACGATTCTACAATTTTACCATACAATTCGTTTCTTCTTCTTTCCACTTTTTCAGTTTGGCAGTTTTTCGTTTCATGAGTTTTCAGATTTCTCAATTTTTTTGGTTTGTCAACTTATCGAATAAAAAAATGGACAAAGTTTAAAATGAAAATTTTAAAAAATCTGCATGTTGGAAATCAAAAATAGAAGAAACCAAAACTGAAAAATCTAAACATTAAGAATTGAAAAACTGAAAGCTCGAAAAATTGCATACAATACGCATTTGGGCAAATTAAAAATAAAAATCAAGAATTCGTTTGAAAAATTGAGGAAGCAAAAACTAAAAATCGGAAAATTAAAAATTCAGAAATTCAAAAATTGAAAAATCAAAATTACGAAAGTGAAAAATTGCAAATCGAAAAATTGGAGAAAAGACAAATTGAAAAAATGCAAAATAGAAAAAACGAAATGTCGAAAATTAGAGAAATTGTAAAATTGGACAACTGGAAATCCAAAATTGCAAAATTTAAAAATTCAATAATTGGAAAATCGATGAACTGAGAAATCAAAGACAGAAAAAACGAAAAATTGTAACACTAAATCGAGAAAATGAAAAAAAAGTAAAAATCAAGAATTCGCTTGAAAAACTGGGGAAACGAAAATTGAAGAATCCAAAAATAAAAAACTGAGAAACTGAAAAACCGAAAAATAAAAAATTGCAAATCATATGCAAAGAATACGAAATATTACGAAATCGAAACATTGAAAAATAGAAAAAATGAAAGAAGAAGAAAAAACGAAAAATTCTGATATCAAGAAATTCTAAAATCGAAGAAAAAGGAAAAATGAAAAGTTTTAACTTCAAAACATTGTTCGAAAGGAAATAAATCCAAATTTTTCGAAAAGTTACAAGATTTGGTTTTGAGGATGTAATTTTTTTATGATAAACTTCAAAACCTTCGCTAGATTTCAGAGCAAAACTTTTCGGTTTTTCGTTTTCTTTAATTTTCAGTTTTTCGGTTTTTAATTTCTAATTTTATAATTTTTATTCAGTGTGAAATTTTTTAATTTTCGAATTTTTCAACTTTAGATTTTTAATTTTTTGATTTTTTATTTATTCGATTTTCAGTTTTTCAATACTTGTTGCAATTTTACATTTTTTCGAATATATAATTTTGACGATTCTTCAATTTCAAATTTTTCAGATTTTTTTGTTTTTCGATTTTTCAACTTATCGAATAAAAAAATGGAAAAAGAATAAAATGAAAATTTTTAATAATCCAAAAGTTGTAAATCAAAAACATTAAAAATTGAGAAACTTAAAAGTTGAAAAATTGCAAAATAGAAAAATCCAAATACGTATTGTACAATCAAAATATTGAAAATTAAATAACTTGACAGTTGGAACTCCAAAATTGCAAAATTGAAAACTTTGAAACTTGAAAAATCGAGGAACTGAGAAATCAAAGACGGAAAATTGAAAAAAATGAATAAACAAAAAATTATAGAACCGAAACAAACATCGAAAAAATGAAGGAATTGAAAAACAAAAAATTGTGATATAAAATCGAGAAAATGAAAATAAAAAAATCCTGAAAATTAAAAATAAAAATCAAGAATTCTCTTGAAAAACTGGGGAAACGAAAACTGAAAGATCGACAAATTAAAAATTGAGAAATTGGAAAAATCAGAGGAGAATTTGAAAAAATTAAAATGAAAAAACCAGAAATTATGAATTCGAAACATCGAAAACAGAAAAATTGAAAAATGAAAGAAGCTAAAAAACCGAAAAATTCTGATTTCAAAAAATTGTAAAATCGAAGAAAACGGAAAAACGAGGAGTTGTATTTCAAAAAATTGTTTTCAAATAAATATATTCAGATTTTTCCAAAAATTATAAGATTTTGTTTGGCAAAAGGATTTTTTTATGATAAACTTTAAAACATTTGCAAGATTTCAGAACATTCTTTTTCTAAAAATGTGGTTAGGGTGAAAACTCAACCCCAATTCATGTATCGAAAGTATATATTCTTGTAAATAATAAAGAAACAAATTTTGAGTATTCAAAACTGAGAAAAAGAATAATTTTTTCGAGAACTATACATGTTACAAAGGAACATAATCACTAGCTTGGCGGAAGTGGTAATTTTGTTCCTTTAATTTTGTGTCTCGTTTCTATCGCACTGCACAAAATAAAAACATGTTTTCCATTCGAGCTTGTTTTTAACTGTTGGCAAAATAGGAAAATTATCTGTCTTAAATAGAGGACGGATAGTTAGGCAAATGTTTGTACCTCGTATTTTTCAGTCTCTTAAAGAATATTTGTAAAAGTACAAGACTAATTATCTTTTTCCTTTCTACTGACCATTTTATATGATTTCATCATTTTGATGATTTAGTGATACAGTGTGTTCGTTTATCGTGGATGACTGTCGTAGACATAGTAACTACAATTTGGCCTTCGAAACTATTGGACTGTGAAAAGTTGTTACAAGCCATTGCTGAGATCGTTGGCGTCAAAACAAAACTTTCTAGTTCTAGAGGGTTCAATCGTAAGAAATTGTCTCCCTATTCGGGATAAAAATAAAATGAGAGTTTTAAGTTTTCGACGAAAATCTAGCGACTGTTCGACACAAAGCTGAAGTTGTTTCTGGAATAAATTCGTCTTGGTTGTTGACGGGCGGTGGAAATGTGGAAAAGTTTGCGTACCACACTATAGACGGTAAAAGTGCAATTATTGTGAAGCTTGGTGCTCCATCTTTTGTTAACCACTTCAAAATGAGACTCTGGGATGGGGATAATCGGTACGTACGAAAATACTATTTACAATTTTTATAAAAATCGTTGTAGCTCTTATTCGTATTACATTTCGGTTTCTCTTGATCAGAAGAACTGGAAAAGAGTTATCGACTACAGTCGTATTAGTTGTCGTTCAGACCAAGTTCTGTTTTTTGATCAGCAAGTGGTTCAGTACGTAAAAATCGTAGGAACGCAAAACACGTCCAACAAAGTAAGGTTATAAACCGTACTTACATCTGTATTTTTTTGTTTAATCAATCAGGGATTTCACATCATATCCTTTGAAGCGTATTTCAAAAATGACTCACCTACAACCATGAATACCATTATCTGCCCAAATTACAATGTTGCAACTTCAGACAAGAAAGCGATTGTAATTAAAGGGTAAGTAAAATAGTACTCAATTAATCAGTTAATCATACAAATGATACTTTTCTAAGAGAAAAGCCTTCGGCCTTGCTAGATGGTAATTGGCACGAATATGATGGGAGCTCAGGCTATTCCTATCATAAAATTGGCAGTGGAAATCTTACCATACAACTAGGTACCTTAGTGAAATTTATATTAAGTAACTGTTAATTAAAAATACTAATTCGTAGCTCAACCGTACAACATATCAACCATGCGACTCTTGTTATATGATAACGATTCCAGACGCTATAGATATTTTGTTGAAACTTCACTTAATAATTCAGACTGGGAGATTGCGGTTGATCTAAGAAACGAAGATTGCAGATCTTGGCAGAATCTTAGTTTTAAAGAGAGGGCTGTAGTTTTTATTAGGATAACAGGGACCCTCAACACTAATACTGGCAACGACGTAAGTGAATCTAGCTTAATTAAAATATTTCGGGGAAGGCAATTTTCAATAATTTTCTTGTACTTATATACTTCTAGTATTTCCATGTGGTTCATTTCGAATGTCCTTCCGAGGTGTGAGGAAAACTAACTGAAAACTTGCAGACCACTTACAAGATTTCTACAAAACGCATGCTTTATATTGTTAATAAAAAATTTTAGCGATTATTGTACATGAATCATTTTCTCCCGAATCATTACAATCCAATTTTTTTATTTTTCAGTTTTTCACTATTTCAATTTCCAAATTTTTTATTCGGTTATTCAATGTACAAATTTGCAATTCTTGGATTTTTTAACATTTAGATTTTTTGATTTATTTCTTCATATATCCAATTCTCAATTTTGCAATACTTCAGTGTTGCTGTTTTACAGTTTTTCAGTTTTGCAATTTTGACAATTCTATAATTTTACTATACAATTCGTTTTTAACTTATCGAATAAAAGAAAATATAAGGATTGCAAAATAAAATATTAAAAAAACAAAATGAAAAATAGTAAAAACCAAAAATACGTATTGTAAAATCGAAATTCTGAAAATTAAATAAATCGGAAAATCCAACAGTAGGAAATTCAAAATTGAAAAATTGAAAGCTTTAAAGATTGGAAATTTATAAAATCGAAGTTATTGCAAAAATAAGGGAACTGAAAAAACGAAAAATTGTGATATAAAATCGACAAAATGAAAATAAAAGAATCGTGAAAAATAAAAATAAAAATCAAGAATTGATTTGAAAAACTGAGGAAACGAAAATTGAAAAATCTAAAAAAAACCTCAGAAACCGAAAGATTGCAAATCGAAAACTTGAAGAAAAGAAAAATTGAAAAATTTGGAATTCTGGAAATCAAAAAATTGAAAAAATTGAAAAATGAAAAAACGAAAAATTCTGAGAAATTTGTAAAAACGGATTTTTAATTTTGCAATTTTTTATTTATTCGATTTTCAGTTTTTCAATACTTCAGTGTTGAGATTTTATAGTTTTTCGACTTTACAATTTAGACGATTCTATAATTTTACCATACAATTCGTTTCTTCTTCTTTCCACTTTTTCAGTTTGGCAGTTTTTCGTTTTATCAGTTTTCAGATATCTCAATTTTTTTTGATTTCTCAACTTGTCGAATAAAAAATGGACAAAGTTTAAAATGAAAATTTTCAAAAATCTACATGTTGGAAATCAAAAATAGAAGAAACGAAAACTGAAAAATCTAAACATTAAAAATTGAAAAACTAAAAGCTCGAAAAATTGCATACAATACGTATTTATTTGGGCAAATTAAAAATAAAAATCAAAAATTCGTTTGAAAAATTGAGGAAATAAAAACTAAAAATCGGAAAATTAAAAATTCAGAAATTCAAAAATTGAAAAGTCAAAATTACGAAAGTGAAAAATTGCAAATCGAAAAATTGGAGAAAAGACAAATTGAAAAAATGCAAAATAGAAAAAACGAAATGTCGAAAATTAGAGAAATTGGAAAATTGGACAACTGGAAATCCAAAATTGCAAAACTGAAAAATTTAATAATTGGAAAATCGATGAACTGAAAAATCAAAGACAGAAAAAACGAAAAATTGTAACACTAAATCGAGAAAATGAAAAAAAAGTAAAAATCAAGAATTCGCTTGAAAAACTGGGGAGACGAAAATTGAAGAATCCAAAAATTAAAAACTGAGAAACTGAAAAACCGAAAAATAAAAAATTGCAAATCGAACAGTTGAAGAAAAGAAAAACTGAAAAATTTTCAAGTCGAGGAAATGAAAAATTAGGTAAAAGAATACGAAATATTACGAAATCGAAACATTGAAAAATAGAAAAAATGAAAGAAGAAGAAAAAACGAAAAATTCTGATATCAAGGAATTGTAAAATCGAAGAAAAAGGAAAAATGAAAAGTTGCAACTTCAAAAAATTGTTCGAAAGGAAATAAATCCAAATTTTTCGAAAAGTTACAAGATTTGGTTTTGCGGATGTAATTTTTTTATGATAAACTTCAAAACCTTTGCTAGATTTCAGAGCAAAATTTTCGGTTTGTTGTTTTCTTTAATTTTCAGCTTTTCGGTTTTTAATTTCTAATTTTATAATTTTTATTCAGTGTGAAATTTTTTAATTTTTTTGTTTTTTTATTTTTTCGATTTTCAGTTTCTCAATACTTGTTGCAATTTTACAGTTCTTCGACTTCACAATTTTTTAATTTTCATTTCCTTTATTTTTTCGATGTTTCTTTCGGTTCTATAATTTTTCGTTCTGAAAAAATTGAAAAAACGAAAAATTTTCAAATCGAAAAAATGAAAAAAAAAACAACTGTATTGTAAAATTTTAGAATCGTCAAAATTGTGAAGTCGAAGAACTGTAAAATTGCAACAAGTATTGAGAAACTGAAAATCGAAAAAATAAAAAAACAAAAAAATTAAAAAATTTCACACTGAATAAAAATTATAAAATTAGAAATTAAAAACCGAAAAGCTGAAAATTAAAGAAAACAACAAACCGAAAATTTTGCTCTGAAATCTAGCAAAGGTTTTGAAGTTTATCATAAAAAAATTACATCCGCAAAACCAAATCTTGTAACTTTTCGAAAAATTTGGATTTATTTCCTTTCGAACAATTTTTTGAAGTTGCAACTTTTCATTTTTCCTTTTTCTTCGATTTTACAATTCCTTGATATCAGAATTTTTCGTTTTTTCTTCTTCTTTCATTTTTTCTATTTTTCAATGTTTCGATTTCGTAATATTTCGTATTCTTTTACCTAATTTTTCATTTCCTCGACTTGAAAATTTTTCAGTTTTTCTTTTCTTCAACTGTTCGATTTGCAATTTTTTATTTTTCGGTTTTTCAGTTTCTCAGTTTTTAATTTTTGGATTCTTCAATTTTCGTCTCCCCAGTTTTTCAAGCGAATTCTTGATTTTTACTTTTTTTTCATTTTCTCGATTTAGTGTTACAATTTTTCGTTTTTTCTGTCTTTGATTTTTCAGTTCATCGATTTTCCAATTATTAAATTTTTCAGTTTTGCAATTTTGGATTTCCAGTTGTCCAATTTTCCAATTTCTCTAATTTTCGACATTTCGTTTTTTCTATTTTGCATTTTTTCAATTTGTCTTTTCTCCAATTTTTCGATTTGCAATTTTTCACTTTCGTAATTTTGACTTTTCAATTTTTGAATTTCTGAATTTTTAATTTTCCGATTTTTAGTTTTTATTTCCTCAATTTTTCAAACGAATTTTTGATTTTTATTTTTAATTTGCCCAAATAAATACGTATTGTATGCAATTTTTCGAGCTTTTAGTTTTTCAATTTTTAATGTTTAGATTTTTCAGTTTTCGTTTCTTCTATTTTTGATTTCCAACATGTAGATTTTTGAAAATTTTCATTTTAAACTTTGTCCATTTTTTATTCGACAAGTTGAGAAATCAAAAAAAATTGAGATATCTGAAAACTGATAAAACGAAAAACTGCCAAACTGAAAAAGTGGAAAGAAGAAGAAACGAATTGTATGGTAAAATTATAGAATCGTCTAAATTGTAAAGTCGAAAAACTATAAAATCTCAACACTGAAGTATTGAAAAACTGAAAATCGAATAAATAAAAAATTGCAAAATTAAAAATCCGTTTTTACAAATTTCTCAGAATTTTTCGTTTTTTCATTTTTCAATTTTTTCAATTTTTTGATTTCCAGAATTCCAAATTTTTCAATTTTTCTTTTCTTCAAGTTTTCGATTTGCAATCTTTCGGTTTCTGAGGTTTTTTTTAGATTTTTCAATTTTCGTTTCCTCAGTTTTTCAAATCAATTCTTGATTTTTATTTTTATTTTTCACGATTCTTTTATTTTCATTTTGTCGATTTTATATCACAATTTTTCGTTTTTTCAGTTCCCTTATTTTTGCAATAACTTCGATTTTATAAATTTCCAATCTTTAAAGCTTTCAATTTTTCAATTTTGAATTTCCTACTGTTGGATTTTCCGATTTATTTAATTTTCAGAATTTCGATTTTACAATACGTATTTTTGGTTTTTACTATTTTTCATTTTGTTTTTTTAATATTTTATTTTGCAATCCTTATATTTTCTTTTATTCGATAAGTTAAAAACGAATTGTATAGTAAAATTATAGAATTGTCAAAATTGCAAAACTGAAAAACTGTAAAACAGCAACACTGAAGTATTGCAAAATTGAGAATTGGATATATGAAGAAATAAATCAAAAAATCTAAATGTTAAAAAATCCAAGAATTGCAAATTTGTACATTGAATAACCGAATAAAAAATTTGGAAATTGAAATAGTGAAAAACTGAAAAATAAAAAAATTGGATTGTAATGATTCGGGAGAAAATGATTCATGTACAATAATCGCTAAAATTTTTTATTAACAATATAAAGCATGCGTTTTGTAGAAATCTTGTAAGTGGTCTGCAAGTTTTCAGTTAGTTTTCCTCACACCTCGGAAGGACATTCGAAATGAACCACATGGAAATACTAGAAGTATATAAGTACAAGAAAATTATTGAAAATTGCCTTCCCCGAAATATTTTAATTAAGCTAGATTCACTTACGTCGTTGCCAGTATTAGTGTTGAGGGCCCCTGTTATCCTAATAAAAACTACAGCCCTCTCTTTAAAACTAAGATTCTGCCAAGATCTGCAATCTTCGTTTCTTAGATCAACCGCAATCTCCCAGTCTGAATTATTAAGTGAAGTTTCAACAAAATATCTATAGCGTCTGGAATCGTTATCATATAACAAGAGTCGCATTGTTGATATGTTGTACGGTTGAGCTACGAATTAGTATTTTTAATTAACAATT